TTACTTATGTTAACAATTGACCTAAATGTATACACGAAGAAACCCTTATTCCATAGAATAAAAACAAGAGCAAGTGTTTGGGATCAACTATTCTAGGCCATCCGCAAGGCCTATGGAAAAATCCCAAGAGTGAACTCCAATTAAAAAGACCCATGGAACATGTAGACCTTCACGCTGACCAGAAACAGACAATTTCACCCTCTAATGCATCAATCACTGTCAAATTCAATTAGATAGTTTGTGAAGTCAAGCTTCTCAATTTTTTTGATGAAGACAAGCTAATATACAAATAAGGTTTGAAAAATGGAATGACTAAAGACATCTAGCATAAATTTTAAAGAATTATCCAAGTCTTGAAGAATCCTAGCATGATTGATCATATTATCTAAGGTATAACATTCAACTCTCAAATATGCATACAAGTGTTCATATATAAATATTCATTCATACCATAATAAGTTAAAAATCATTTTGATATCAAAAACTTTCAAAACATGTCATTTTTGAAGCATTTTTACAAATTGGGCTTTGTGTAACCGGATACCCCATATGAGAGAATCGGGTACACCTAAAGAATTTGGACTTGTTTTTTTAACGTTCAAGAAGCTTTTCAAAAGGGTGTTATCGGGTACACCATATGTGGTTACCAGATACACAGAGAAAAAATTCAAATTTTTTCTTAACACTACAAGGTGTAACCGGGTACCCCATATGTGGTAACCGATTACCCAACTGAATAGAGGCAAAAATCTGAAACTTTTTATTTGAAATTTTTGTGTCTCTTGGAATTAAACTCTTTCATTGATTATTCTCTTTTGTAGAGGTTTATAGAGGCTATATAAACTCTATTATTTCATATTCCAAAACAACTTTTTCAACTACATTTCAAATAATTTATAATCATTTCATCTTTCAAAATTCAAGTGTTCAAAAACCATAATTTTTGGTGAAAATTTCTGCACTTAATTTTCATTGAAAATTATCATAACTTTCATATCATTCATTAAACACTTGTATACCATTGAGAAAATTATATTCTTGAAAAAGAAGATCAATCTAAGTGATTGATAAATACTCATCAACTTTATTACTCAAATAATTTTCAGATTTAGTTTGTAATTGCTTGTTCTCCAGGATTGTTGGGAACAAGAGAGTAGAAAGGAAAGAATTACTTTCTTGTTCTACTTGTTTAGATGTATATTGCTGTCCAGGATTGTTGGAAGTAAGAGAGTCATTAAGAGATGATTGTTCTCTTAATGTACTTAGATAAAATCCAAGAGGATTGTTCTTGGTGGTTTTATTGGTTAGAGTCTTATATAGAAAGACTAGGGTGTCTTGTCTGACCGGTCCAACTTTCTGGTATCAGAGCCTGAAAGGGTTTTGTAACTTGATTTGTTTGATATAATTATTTTTAAGAATATTTTTAAAGACAAATTTAGTATTTTTAAAGTTACATATTTTCTTATTAACTTCAACCTTTAATCCTTACCTTTGAGTCTTGTTAGTGTACCTGCTGGTAGTGAGTGGTTCCGGTCGTAAATCTCGTGTGTTGAGATCGTAAAACCGTTGGTTTAGCTCACTGCAGTTATAGTCCAAGAAAAAAACTATAAGAGAGTGGGAGAGAGTTAAGAAGACTAGTGACTTTAAGATACTAGATTGTTTATAAAAAAATTCTTGAAAGATAATTTGTATTCAATCATGTCTCAAATCTTAAAGGCTTTGAGCGAGTTGAGTAGTAGTAGTCGTAGAAGTACTAATAACAAGGTTTTATATCCCACATCTTCTAGTACTACCAATTATGAATTAAATCAAGATAATTTCTAAAACTATGAATTAGAGATTCAAGAAAGGGAGAGTCGATTAGTTAACTGGTCTATGTCAGAAAATAAATTAAAATAAATTTATAAAATTAGTACCTTTGAATGTAATGTTCGAAAAATTATTCATACAACTGAATTGACAACTGCTATTAGTAGTAAGTATGAAACCATAAACTTATTAAATAAAAACCTATTATAAAAACATCACCGTGAAGGTTACAATTATATTCATTTAGGATTGACACAAGTGGCTATAAAACTTTTACATAAATTAGGATTGAATACTCCGGTCCTTCTAGTTTTACGAGATACTAGAATAAAAGATTTTCATAATTCAACTATAGTCGTAGCTGAGTCTAACTTAAATGATGGTCCAGTTTATTTTAATTGCCATCCACACTTTACTATGAGCCTATCTAACGAGTTTACACCAAACTCTTTAGTTATCTATGTCCAGACTCTTGGAGACACTTTTAATCCTAGAGTTGCCAACATGGATGTCATTAGTAGAATAACATAAAATTTCTAAAGTCAATTATAATTTTAAATCAACCCCTAAAAACGAGACTTGTATTATAGAAGCAAATTTGAGTAAATCAAATGTTATGACCCCAAAAATATTAACCATTTTAGATATAATTAATAAGCTTCCAAAAGAATGGATACTAAGAGATATTATTAAAACTGATAAGATTGAAGCTAGAACCATTAGAAATGTCATTCAAGACATTGACAGATCTGTTAGGATTAGAATTAATAAGAGTCAATCTCACTGATACTATGCTTCAAGTAGCGTTAGTACTTCCTCTAGCGCCAGACCCTCGACTGCTAGACAGTCAACTAATTCCACCATTAGAATTAATTTAGCCAGCATGGACTTTAATCCTGGCGTCCCTATCCCAATTTATCAAGAGAAAACCTGTAGGTCACGTTCACCGCTTCACAAGTTTTAGGTACATCAACTAGAGAAGATTCTTTCATCATAGATAAAACATGGATAAAAAAATGAGTTTAACTCAGATTATAATAAAGAAAAGAGGGATTGGTATTTCTCTTCTATTGATAAAACATTAAAAAAAATTATATTTAGAAATTTTTTATGAATTTTTAAGTTAGTATGAAATTAATACATATTTCTTTACTTGGTTTGAATTATACTCTTTACAAGAAAAAAAATTAAAAATTCTTACATTAATAAAATGTTTTTAGATGTTAATACCATGATTACTACTCAGTGGAAGACAATTAAGAAAGAGACTATTAGTTTTATACATCCACCTTTAGAAGCTATTAAAATAACGCTGCCTAAAGAAAATGTTGAGATAAAAGCATCTCCTTTTAAAACAATTATACGTCCCAATGAAACTAAAAAATATATTAATAACATTCATAGCCAACTTAACTTTACCAACCAAATACTAAGCACTATGTCAAAACAATTAGAAAGAATTGAGGCTATTCCTCATACTACCGATACACCTTCCACTAAACTTGACCCTATTAGACCAATATATCATTATGATATTTCCTCAAAAGATAAACAACAAAGTATAATATTAGGTCAAGAATCTGATGGGAAAATTAATGAATTAATTAAGAAATTAAATGGTTTAAATTTAGAATCAACATTCATATTACATACACTCTCTCACGAAAGAGAAAACAACAGTACCTTAACCTTAAACAAATTAGGGAATAGAGGCCCTAAGCCAAAAAATATAAATTATTATCCTAGACCTTCATTTGCTGACAATTTGAAGAAAGAAGTAGTTTCGTAGAAGATAGCTACTCCGGAGTATCTATAGAAGATGGTGCTTCGGAACAACAGGTTATAGATACCATTCAACAAATGACAATGGTTGCCACAACCTTTTAAATTAGAAGAAATAGCGATAAAAAGACCAAAGACATGATAGTCATGAGTTTTACGGATCAATTAAAGGGATGGTGGGATAACATCATTGTTTCAGAAGATAAATTAAAAATTGACATAACTGTTAAAGGCGAAAATAATGAAGAGAATTGTGTTACAACACTCCTTTATGCCATTATTAAATTTTTTGTAGGAGAACTCTTAAAACTCCAACAAAGAGCATATGAACAATTAATAAATCTTTATTGTCATACCATATTTGATTATCGTTAGTATAAAGACATGTTTCTTTCTAAAATTATAACAAACAACTTTTATTTTTTATTCAACTAATTTGCAATTTTTGTGTTTCAAAAAATAAGAAATACAAAAGAAAAAGAAAAAACATGAGGTGACATTGTTAGCCAAACTTAGTAATTAGAAAGTGAGAGATAACAAGAGAAGACATAGATAAAACACAAAGGAAGAAGTGGCCAAGTGGGTATTAAGCTGAAAATAGGAAAAGTTTTCTTGGATGTTGATTGTTAAAATTTAGTAGGTAACTAACGTGTAGAAATGAAACTCAAAGAAAACGAGTGATTCTTTTTGTGAATAACAAAGAGGACAAAATAAAGAACTACTAAATCTAACTTCAATTCTATGCCCCTCTTGTGTTTCAATGTTGACACATATTCTCCACTTCTTGGTTCACAAAATGCGACCAAAACATTTTTCCTCTATGCTCTCTTCACCTTTGTGATTTGCTAAGTCACACTCCCATTCCCTCTCCCTCTCTATATAAACTCACAATTCCTCTTCTCTCTTTCTGTATAGCTTGCCACATTCTGAATTCAACAATTCTTTTATCCTTCTTTATCTTCACTTCATCATCATCATCATCATCATCATCTCATCTTATCTTATGCTAATAACTGAGGTAAGTGTTTGTTCTTTCCTTTTCTTTTAACCTTTTGCGCTATCACCATGATTTGGACTATCATTTTGTCTGCCTTATCTTATTGTGAACCTTCATTCATGTATAATTTGAGACAATTACATAATAGTTTATACCACCGACACCTCTGAAAAATGACGTCTGTGTCGTTTTTTCAAATGATTACTAGCGTCAACATGTCTGTATTGTATCCGGTGTCTATATCCGTGCTTCATAGTTATGGAATCTTCGATTCATGTTTTCTATTCTATATGATAAAGTGGCTACTTTCTAGCACATCACAGTCTGTATTTGTGAGTAGTGAAGTTATTTGAATATAGTTCTAGTGATGTTGATAGTATTTAGAATGGATTTTTGAATGCAGGAGAGAAACATGCTTAGTCCTGAAGGAGAAATTAAAATAAGTTTTGGTTATAAATGCAATAATAATAGAGGTATTTCTAACGAGATCGCTAATGGGTACAAAAATCTTCCCGAAATCCGTAGAACAAGTAGTTTCTCTTGTTTATCTGGTGCAGCCTTGAGTGCAAATGCTACACTAGCCAACACAAACATCTGCAATGGTAAGATAGGTGGAGAGATCCTTCCAAGTTGGGACTCTCCTAATTCGTTTCGTAGAGTACCTTCTTCGCCAAGTCTTTCACGGTTCGGTAGACTATCGTCTTCCCTCCCAAGTAGTCTCTCTTACCTTAGTTGCAGTCCATCAACAGCTAGTGACAGCCTTGAATACGAGTTGAAATCTGCGAGTGATCGATCCAGTAGCGACGGATTTCTTATTGCCACAGAAGTTCAAGTAGCAGGAGGAGCTGCGGGCGAAGATAGAGTTCAAGCTGTTTGTTCTGAAGAAAATGGCTGGCTCTTTTGTGCAATTTATGATGGTTTTAATGGAAGAGATGCTGCAGATTTTTTAGCAGGTACACTTTACGACACCATCATATCTTATCTAGATAAGTTAATTTGGGAATTGGAGCCAGGTTCCATCACAGCTTCCAATCACGCGGATTTGGGAGAATTCTTTCGATATAAGTTGGAAGATAGTGTTCATTGTCACGAGGATCGTTCTCTGGCGCGCGGAGTACTTGATAGCCTCGAACATGCTCTCAGTCAGGCTGAGAACGATTTCTTATACATGGTTGAGCAGGAAATGGTGGAACGTCCGGATTTAGTTTCGATTGGATCTTGTGTTCTGCTTTTGCTTCTTCATGGTAATGATTTGTATACTTTGAATCTCGGCGACAGTAGAGCAGTATTGGCGACATGCAGTAACAGTGACAGAACGAATAAGAGTGAGAAACTCAAGGCTATACAGCTTACAGATAATCACACTGTCGATAATGAAGCTGAAAGAGCCAGACTCATGGCCGAACATCCCGATGATCCTAAGGTCGTCATAGCAGGAAAAGTGAAAGGTAAATTGCAGGTTACTCGCGCATTCGGAGTTGGCTACTTAAAAAAGGTTTGTACTTTGTATTCTCTTTTACTTTTTTCAGTGTATTTAGATAAACAGTTTAATTAATCGCTTCAAGAAGAAATGTGATTAACAGTATATCTTCGGATATTTTCATAAACTCTTTCAAACACTTGACCCGTGTTTATCGCCATTCTCTTGCAGAAAAATCTGAATGATGCTTTGATGGGAATCCTAAGAGTTCACGACCTTACGAGTCCACCATATGTTTCCACTCAACCATCACTAAATGTCCATAAAATATCGAATTCGGATCAATTTGTTATAGTAGGAAGTGATGGATTGTTCGACTTCTTCAGCAATGAAGAGGCGGTGAAGCTTGTAGAGTCTTACATCTTAAGCAATCCTTTTGGTGATCCTGCAAAGTTTCTCATAGAGAAACTTGTAGCTAGAGCAGCTAATTCCGCAGGTCAGTTTTTTTTCTTCTATATCTTATGCTAAATTTTACATTTACATGCACAGATATAGATTGTTACACACTGTATTAACAAGTAATGCTCGTGCAGGTTTCAGCATGGAAGAGTTGATGAATGTTCCGGCCGGGAGGAGAAGAAAGTACCATGATGATGTTACTGTAATAGTGGTCATGCTAGGGATGAACCAACGGACTTCAAAAGCTTCAACTTGTATTTAAGATATGTTAGAGCACAAGAATCGATTATGAACAAAGAATAAATTTAAGAGAGCAAAGAGAATGACACTACAAGAGGAATAAATGTTGTTGTTACTGTTTCTGTTACAAATGACAGCTACTACTAATCTATTTATACACAAAATAAATTGTCACGTAAACCCTAATAAAAGATAAACTTAATGACTAAGCTAAAAGGTGCAAACTAGGAAATACTAAACTTAACAACTACGCTAACAAACTCAGCCCCAGAACCCTAAAAGTTAAACATACTTCTGGACGTAACCTCAGAAGCTTCTGCTTCTGATTAATAACAACTTCTGATCACATCAAAATATTGCTTCTAACTAAGCAGTCTCAGAAACTTACAGCTTCTGGCTAACAACCTCAGAAGTTCTATTGCTTCTGAATAACAATATCTTCTGAATATTAATTACTTCCAACACCATCCCTTAATTCATATTTAACTAACCAAAAATCTTCAACACCAATTTCATCCTTCAAACAGATAAAGTGTTCATTCTTGACATCCTTCGTCAGAACATCTACAAGTTGCTTCAGGTTGCTAAAGTGTGCAATTTCTAATACTTCATTTAGAAATGCAAATTTCTCCTTGAGAATCCATATGACGCTGATGTTTTTCTTCTCCTTTGGAAGCTCAGTTAACTCCCAAGTATTGTTTCTTTTAATAGCATCAAGCTCTTCTTTCATGGCCTTCAGCCACACTTTCTTCTTGAGAGCTTCACAGATTAACAACACAACCACTAGTTGCTTCTTGGAGCACCAAGAAAAAGGACTTTCTAGATACAAACAAAAGTATCCAGAAGTATTTCTTCTGTCAACTCTGTCTTCATACCAATCAGAGTCTCAATAGCACATCAACGTCAGAATAGAACGACACTTCATACCTCAGAGTCCCTTCAGTATCTTGTAGCTTGTCAAACTCTGCAAACCTTCTTCGTATATTCTGATTCGTTGTGGCCTCTGGACTTGTTCAAAATCTCCTTTTGATTCCGGAACAATATCTCCTTCTGGACTTTCTTCAGAAGTTTGACTATCACTAGAAGCTACAGATTTGATAGCTTTTTGACCTCATTCAGAACCACTACTTTCAGAAATACCATCTTCAAAAGTTAGATCACCTTCAAAAGCTCTGTCTTCAGAAGTTCCACTTTCAGAATCATAATCACCGTCAAAGGCTGGATTACCTTTAGAAGCTCCTCCTTTAGAAGGTCCATCTTAAGAGACATGATTTCCACCAGAAACATGTTCATCTTCAGAAGCTTGTCATCTAGAACCTATGTCTCCAGAGTTTTCCCTTCTAGAAGCATGACCATCACCAAATTCAAAGTTTGGATCAGAATCAGATTCACCACCTGACTTATCGTTAGAGTTTTCAGAAGATTCTTCATCCTCTAACTCTGACTCACCTTCGGAACTTTCAAGTTCTAACTCATATTTAGAAGTAAAATCTCCTTTAGATTCTGACTCATCTTCTGATTCTTCTTCAGACTCAAAATCACTTTCGGATTCTAACTTGTCTTCAGCTTCAGAGTCATCTTCTAGCTCTGAGTCATCTTCAGAAACCTCAGATTCTGACTCATCTTCAGAATCTTCTGCACCATCTTCTGATTCTGACTCATTCAAACACTCCTTCAAATTCAGAATACTCAGAGTCATTTTCTTCCCATTCTGAATCAGAAAATGACAATCTCACAAGTTTCTCATCAGATTCATATACCATTAATAGCATAGGTTCATCATCTGAATCTCCTCTGACTATTTTTGCTTCTTCTTTATTTGACCAACAACCTTTAGCAAAGTGATCAAACCTATTACAACAATAACATTGAATCATTCTCTTCTCATACTTCTCCTTTCCCTTCTAATATTTCTTTTCATCATAATAGAAGGCTTCTGACTTCTGAGACCTACCATGTTTTCTCTGTTTCTGGTCCTTCTTGACAAAAGAAGCTTTCAGAGCCTGCTTAACTTCCCTCTCAGAAGTTCTTTCAGTCAGACGCAACTCTTGCGCCTCTAGACTGCTTTACAACTCTTCTATTATCATGGTGTCCAGATCTTTAGAATGTTCAATTGCTACAATAATATAATCAAATTTAGGAATAAGTGACCTTAATATCTTCTCAATGATTACTTGTTCAGGGAGGGTTTCTCCACAAGCCTTCATCTCATTAGTGATCAGAATCACTCTAGAGATGTACTCAGAAACCTTCTCATTATTCTTTATGTTGAGATTCTTATATTGCTTTCGCATGGACTAAAGTTTTACATTCTTCATTGATGTGTCACTACCATAACATCAGACCAGTGTGTCACATGCCTCTTTCACCATCGTCAAATTAGTAATCTTCTCAAACACATTCACATCCATACACTGATGGATGTAAAACAACGTCTTCTGATCTTTCTTCTTCTTGTCTCTCTGTTCATTTCTCTCTTCTTCCGTCGTGTAAGTGTTTGTTGGTAGCAATTTTGGTAAAACATTACTTTGGTAATGTTTTGCTTAATGTCTTGACATTTGAAGTAAAGCATCTCAATTATTTTTGAATAATATCAAAGCAGATGTCTTAACATCTTCCTACTGATCTGAATGTGTTTTCAGATTTTCTGTTTCCTGTTTTTAAGCGCGCCTTATTCAGGTTTTGTGGTTTATATCTTGCGAAAAATATGGAGGAATATTTTTCGATCTGTCTCATCTTTATGGATCATATATTGGCCTAATTTCATGTTGATATTCAAGGGATTCAATATATTGCAATATTTGTTTTTTAGCCCAAGCCCATAAAGAAGTTGATGCGCCTTTATAAGGACTTGCATCCTTATTCATACGACGGCAACAATTGAGGAAAAATATACTCTGTGTGTTTTAGAAGTCTGAATCTTTTAAATTGTAATACACTCTAGTATTGTTTCAATACTTGAGTTGTAATTTGAGTTGTAAATTATGGATCATTCATAAGCCTTTAAGTATGAATGATTGAGGTTTTTCAAACTTAATATTTATGTTGGTTTTTCACTGTTAGTGATTGAAGTGATTTGAGGAGGGCCTCATACCTGGGTGTGTCTTAGGTAGAAGTATAGTACGGGTAATGATTAAGTGATTAAATCATAACCTGGTTGTTTACCGAGGGTCTATGAATTGATACTATTTAGTGGACTTGTCCCTGGCTTGGTAGCCCCCAGAGTAGGTGTTGTTGTACACCAAACTGGGTTAACAATCCCTTGTGTTTTTTTACTGCTTTTAATATTTTTGTATTTTATATTGTCATCAGATATTTGTGTCATGACATCTCCTTCGACATCACTTATCTAATACCAGAACTTCAATTGGTATCAGAGCAGGCATCCTGCTCTGTATCTGGGTGAGATCTAGGGAAGATACTTTCTGGTACTATGGACAAGGAAGGATGATTTGTGAGCAGACCATCCATTCTAGATGGAAGCAATTATGACTATTGGAAACCATGTATGGTGGCCTTTCTAAAATCTCTGGACATTAAGGCTTGGAAAGCTGTCTTAAAAGGATGGAAATACCTGTCAAATTGGGAGAAGATGGAGAACCTACTTCTGTCTTAAAGCCAGAAGAAGATTGGTCTAAAGAAGAGGACGGAATTGCACTTGGAAATTCTAAAGCCTTGAATTCTATATTCAATGGAATTGACAAGAACATTTTTAGATTAGTAAACACATGTGAAGTAACTAAGGATGTCTGGGGGATTCTTCAATCTACCCATGAGGGTACATTCAAAGTTAAGATGTCAAGACTTCAGTTGCTCACCACTAGATTTGAAAATCTGAGAATGAAGGATGATGAAAGTATTAATGACTTCCATATGAACATTCTTGAGATTGCTAATGCATCCAGTGCTTTAGGAGAAAAAATACCCGAAGGAAAATTGGTGATAAAGATGCCTAGGTCTCTCCCCAAGAGATTTGATATGAAAGTGTCTGCCATAGAAGAAATACAAGACATTGACAAGATGAGAGTGGATGAACTTGTTGGATCCCTTCAGACATTTGAACTAAGCATCAATGAAATATCTGAAAAGAAGAACAAAAGCATAGTTTTTGTAACTAATACTGAAGATGAAAAGGAGGATTATGATCTGGATACAGATGAAGGAATATCTAATGCTTTAGTTCTACTTGGAAGACAGTTTAAAAAAGTGATAAAGAAGATGGATAGGAACCCAAGATCAAATGTCAAGAACATCTCATCTGACATTCATAAGTCAAATGAGTTTGGAAGAAAAAGAGCTGAAGAAAAATCCACTAAATGGAAGGGAATACAATGTCATGGATGTGAAGGTTTTGGTCACATTAGAGATGAATTTCCTACATATCTTAAGAAACAGAAGAAGAATCTATCTGTTACTTGGTCTGAAGAGGACTCTGAGAGTGATCTTGAAGAGGAATTTTCCAAGTATGTCAAAGCATTGACAGGAAAATATGTTTCTGATGAAGAGTCTAGTGATGGTGAGCTAACCTTTGATGAGTTAGCGGCCTCGTATAAAGAACTGTATCTCAGAAGTGTATAAGTTTTCCAAGAAGGGGAGAAACAGAAAGGTCTCATAACTCAGCTGAAGGCAGAAAGGAAAGAGCATCTGAAAACTATCTCTAGTCTGGAAAGTGAAGTGACTTCTCTGAATTCAACCCTTGACAAAATGGTTAAATCACTCAAGATGCTGAATAATGGGTCTGAGACATTAGATGAAATTATTTAAGTGGGAAGAGTGACAGGAGACAAGAGTGGTCTAGGATTTAATGAGAAAAAGGAACCTTATTCAGAAGAATCTTCATCAGTCTCCACTCATGCCAAGTCTAAACCAAAGATGTCAAATCAAATGTCTCAACATAATGACAAGAAAAGACATCATGGCAAGAAAAAATTTAATCACACCAAAGAGAAATTCCAGCTCTGAAGGTGTCACCACTGTGGAAGGTTTGGTCACATAAGACCTTTCTGTTTCAAGTTGTATGGG